TGAAATGATTATTTGAGAATGTCTGGATACTAGCATTTTAAATATTGTGGTAGCTTACAGTGTTTGTCTTCATATAATCAGGTTCCGTATTATGGATTAGAATTTTGGAAAATAACTTTAATTCCCCAAAATTAGAGTTTATGATGCTTAAGATTTTGTGAATTTTGGATTGTCGGGTCTTTGTTTTACGGAATGTCAAAATTCATTTTTCCTCTCAAAATTAATGTTATATTACTTATTTCAGCTATGATTGTGATTAAATATCTGATTCACTTTCTAAGAAAAGAGATCAATAAGTACCTAATTAAAGACCCTCTGACAGAGAAGAGAAGACCTCTCTGTTGACTGACACGATAGTAATACACAGATGGCCAGGCCTTAGGATGGATATGAACCTGTCTATGGATATCTGTGTGAAATTCCCTTTTAACTGAAAGTAGTTTCAAATCTATGACTATAGTACCTGTTTATTGCTGTGCTTTCCCATTTCTGAATGTATGTTTTATTTTAGAGGGACTATTTTAGAAATGCATTTTGCATGTAGAATTCTTACATACTTTATGTTGACACTTATTTTTATTTAAGACTTTGAGAGTTAACTACCAGTTACATGATTTAGAGAGGAAATACATTTGATATAATTGTGCAAAATATCTAGTAATAAATTGAAATCATTTATAACATAATGTAGCACATCCGCCTCTTTTTTGTTGTTGTTTCTGGTATACGTACATAAAAAAATACTTGAACTAGGGAAGGCCAAAATGTTGAAAGTATTTTTAATATATTACATTTTCGCAGGATGGAGTCAATTGGCTGCTATGCACTGTGTGATGCTGCCGGACCTGCTGGGGTTGGACAGATTCAGGCCTCCACTTCTGGAGATGCTCGCTCGGAGGTGGCAAGATCGGTGCCTGGAGGTAATATCGAGGTGATGTGGATAGAAAGCAAAAACATTGAAAAGGCATTGGACAACTGTAAATTAGAAACAAAAATGGTTAATATTTATCTAATTTTTTATCACCTGTTGATAGAAAACATGAATCCATGATTTTTTTTTCAGTTTATGTACTAAACATGTTTCTGCTTGCATATTTGTTTACTTTTTTTAACCAGTGAGTATTCAATAAAAAGTTTCATATACAGGTTGTACACATGCATGCTGCACACATATATACACTCACTTCTCTCCAAATCACACTCTCAGGTATAATCACATCAATCAGATTCTAAGTGAATAGCCATAGTCCAATGGAAGGTACTGTGTTATAATATAAGGAGAAGGTCTTTGGAGTGGAATAGACCTGGATTTAAATATGAGTTCTGCCGATTATTAACTTTGTGACCCTGGGCAATTTACTTAACCTATTTGAAGTTCATTTGTAAAGTGGGGATAATAATATATTCCTCATGGGATTGCTGTTCAGGGTCAAGTAAAGTAATGCAAGTAAAACAGTGAGTACAGAGTCTGACACATTGTAGGAGCTCAATAAATGATAGCTATTATTTTGTGTTAATGGGCTTACCGCTGCATTAGATATTGCTTGGAATATAATATCACTGGGGACTTAGAAACATTTTATAGAGACTTTCCTTATCATGTCATTTGACCTGTGTAGCCATAGCAGTTTATATCATTCAAGATTTTTAATTTATCAAATACAATTAACGTATTTGCTCCTTTCCTGGTGCCCCTTCCCTCAGTGCCAAGTAAAACTACAGCATACTAAAATTTTCATGGTTTTGCATTGAATAATATTTGAATTCACTTCAAAAGTCAGTTATAATTAAAAAACAATTTTTATTCAAATTCTTATCAGAGGCTGCTATGTTATCTTTTCAATTATAAATAGTTAATGAATTGATAGGTACATCATTTAGCAGTTGACTAGCTTCTTTAACCCCATGCCTGTGGCACTTTTGCTGAAATAAAACAAAATAAACTAAAATTGCAAAAGAAAAGTTATTATGAAAGAAAAGAAAAATTCAGGAGAAAGAAAAATATAATTTTGAAAAATAGTGTTCTTCTATAGAACTAATGCTATTACACAGGAATATATTTGCTTAATAAATGTATATATCTATACATTCATGTATACCTAAGACGTACTTAAATTGTTTTGTTGAAAACAGTTTATATCATTTTATTGAAAACAAATTATTTAAGTACGTCTTAGGTATACGTGAATGTATAGATATGTACATTTATGTTTGTGGAAACAATACCTATTTGGTATACATATTATAAAGAAGTTCACTAGATAAGATTAAATTTCTTTAGGCTGAAAGAGAAAACAAATTTAATAGTTCTAGGGAGACATTTAACAATGTAGAGAAATTTTAAAATTGAAAATGTTAAAGTTCAAAAATATTTTAAAAGCTTTGGAAAATGAAATTTAAAACCCAAAACTGATTAAAATTGTAAACATAATTCAGTCTATTAGTATTCTAATATTTTCCAGTGAAATCATTAATTAAAATGTCTTTGATGATTTGCTGGCATCCAATTTATTCCACTTTAAGTACTTAATGCATTATTCGGTTAGTAGTTTTCCTCATATAAATAAATGTGGCTTATATATTTTCTAGCTTTGCTTCATTATGAACTTTCTAGAATTTAGACATCTCACAAACTGGTCTGCTTTGTTTGACATTTGGATCTGTGTCTTTTCAGGTCAGAGAGGCCGCGCAGGCCCTGCTTCTAGCGGAACTGAGAAGAATCGAGCAGGCGGGAAGGAAGGAAGCCATCGATGCCTGGGCTCCTTATTTACCTCAGTACATGGACCATGTCATATCACGTAAGAGTTCTCATGCTTTTTTATGAGACTTTTCATGCTCATCAGAAAAACTCACAAATAGGCTTGCTACTACCCACCAACAAAAGTGTGTTGTTTACCTGAAAGTGAAAACAAGGATCCTCAGATTCTGCTGATTCATTTTCTGAAATCCCTGTGGTTTGGAGTTTAGTTAAGGAAAAAAAAGCAAAAGTTATATAAATATCAAGATATTCACTAATGGACTGACCCCTTATAAAATTAATCCTCAAACAAAAATTCAGCCCTGTTTAACACTAGCATCTGCCCATTGCATTATTATGCTTAGGGTGCCCACTTGTTAGATATTGATATGATTATATGAAAGTGCAAATACAAGGCAGATCCTTTCCAAGTTGAAATTGGAATTGTGAATTCTTTAGAAATAAAGATCTGGTAGAATTTTAGACCAGTGTACTATCGTAAAGGAAAAAATTAGCAAGGATTTGACAAATGGATTTTTCAAGTAAGTATAATTTGGATGGATTGGGAAAGGCCTTGGGAAAGATTGTTGAGATTTTGGATTTTTTTTTTTTTTACAAAATAAAACCTTTGTAAAGTGTTGCTAGGTCAAATGTGTATTGAGAGAAGTTATATTTGTGTTATCAATTTTATATCTTTAAAAAAACCATTCTTCACTCAGATTCAGTATTTTGATTCATTTATTCTTCTGAAGAATTCAGAATTAAAATTTAATCTGTTCTGAGTATAAGATAAAATAAATGAGCTTAATTTTTTTTAAGATAAAGTCTTTTTAACAGCCGAATGCGCTAACCGATTGCACTACAGAGTAAGATAAAGTCTTAATGAAACTTTAAAAATTCTTTTTACTACTAAAATTTGGCCTGGGTTTTAGGTAGATTCATTTTAAATGACCTTTTGCCAGTACCAGTTATTCTTGTTAATTAGATACTCATTACATATGTCAAGACAGACAATACATGATTGTTTAAGAAGGAAATGAAAACAAGATCAAACGGGATTATAATTGTTGTAACTGGTATAACTACCTGACTCTTGCCAGTGGTGACTGTAGTGATTGTTTAATTAAGGTGTATGACCTTGGACACTTAACCTTTCTTAGCCTCAGTGTTGTCACAGACGAAATGAAGATAGTGAGACTTTATATGGTTATTTTGAGGAGGGAATGAATTAATCTTTATTAGCACATGGAACCATGCATAGGCCATGGTAAGCACTACATATTTGTTAAATAAATACATTCATAATCTATAAAAATGCAAATATATATTTTATATATAACCAAAACATCACAAATTAACAACTCCAATTAAAATTCTTTAATCTTTTTAGCAAAACTATTTAATGAGAGAATATTGTTTTTCATTTGCTTACGGGGAATTTTTTCCATTTTAATAAAAGGAAATTAAGTTAAAAAACCAGGGTTTTTAGATATGGACTCCGTGTAATATATTAGGCTTAAAATTCTTATATAACTAGGTTTATAATTTTTCTGAAATAAAAAAAAAATTTTTTAAATGAGATTGGAATGAAAACTCTGTTTTTGAGTATTCGAATACTCTGGAACAGTGCTTTTTGTTCATTAACTTGTGTCTATTAACTTCATACTCTTCCAGAAATTAGAATTAGCTGATCATAAACCTTATTGAATCAAAGATCCCCTTATTTAAGGACAAACTACGAGACTATTACTGTAAATTGAATGTGAAACTAAATAGCAAATCATCAGAGATTCTTTAAAAGTACACTAATATGGAAATATTGAGAACCGTTTTCAAGATATCTTTATTTAGAATGGACTAGTGTAGAGTGGGAGAATGGATTAAAGTAGACTAAGTAGCTGGAAGGCTGTCACAGAAGGGAGTAAGAGACTTAGACCTAAATATAGACAAGGTAGAAGATAATTCTAAGCTTCGATTACAGATTGCCTATAAAGGTCCAAGAAAAACACCAAAGATTAGTAAAGTGTTGGACAGGTTGCCAAGAGAACTGCCATTAAATGGTGGTGGATGCTATTTGATTTTTTCTTTGAGAGAAGAGAGTGAGTTAGGTACAAGGTAAAGGCGTTATATGATCACAGGTTACTCCCTTAAGCAATGATAAACATGAATGTGTTGCTAGGCAAGATGTCCGTCAGTGGGTCCAGAGAGGATACAGTACAAGTAAAATAATGGCAGTACCTCCTATTAATTGAACACTTTCTCTGTCAGGCTTTTGCTAAGTACCTGGTCTGTGTTATTTCATTAAGCTACTGCAATAATCCTGTAAAGTAGGCATATTGTCACTACCACTACCACTTTTCTCTCCCCAAATGAGTTAATTGAGACCAAGAGAGATTAAAGAACTTTCTGAAGGTCCTTCAGTTACTAAGTGACTGTCAAACTACAAAACTCATTCTCTTAATCACGTTTTATTCTGTCTTGCTTCCTCCAGCATCTTTAGATCTTAAATAGGGTTGGGGCGGAAGAGTGAGTAGATATTGGGATTAACTAATCTTGCTTTCAGATGGTACCATTTTCAGCCATATCAAATTTAACAACAACAGCAAAATGGAGCAGAAAAATAACAAAATGATTCTTAATGGTTCTAATCATTGTTTAAATAAGCATAAAGTAGATGGTTCTTAGGTCAAATTTAAACCTTTCCATTAATAAAAATTAAAGTCCTTGGTATTTAGTTATAGTATCCAGGAGTACTTTTTAATTACAGGAGTACCATTTATAAATTAATGGAATTAAGGCTTACTTAACATTTTAATCTTATCACTTACTGTAATTGCATTTGTAGCAAAGGAGTAAAAAACCACACACTCTCCACATAACTAAAACATCTCACACTAACGGCTCTTGCTGTATTAATCTAAACTGGAACTTTTATGCTTAATGAGTGTAAAATTAGTTTTAGTTTGCTTTATTGGGAGTTTTCTATTTTAATAAAAGAATGTCGAGGTAAAGGAGTAGGGATTCTGAATGTGTGAAAGGAAGAGAAAGCACAGAGCAAAGGAGTAATGACCACGTAGGGCCGTTGAACAGATTTGCTGTCCGAAGGGATCGCAAGGTCATGGAGCCAGCTGGTGGACAGCCTACACCTGCTATCAACATGCTTGGAGTGAAATCGATTCTACCATTGTCACTGACATTTGAGGAGCATTCTTTTAGAAACTTAAAACTGGTTCTAGCATAGGGACTTCTTAATCGCTAAAGTAGGTAACATGTTAAGCAATATATCTGGTAAATATACCATTCATCAGATATTTTCTTATAATTTAACCATCATAAGCATTTAAAAACATGTAATAATTGCCTGAGCAATATTGGCAGCTCCTAACTTATGACTGCACTTGGTCTTGGTCTAAGAGTCCCTTTGTTAGATATTTGTCTGAAACGCAGAAAATGCTTTTACCTGAAGAGCAGAACGCCGTTCTGGGCTGATGGACTGTGATAGCCCTTAGTCTTAGAGATCTGGAGTCTGAGGTTTAAATTGGGCAGTAACTTTCTCTGACTTCACAGTCAGTAAGTGATTGAGCTGGAACTATGATGACGAGTCAGCTGGTCATATTGACTGGGGTCTTCTGGAATTTATTTAGGTACATTATGCGATAAAAGCCTTTTGTAAGTTTGTCAGAGAATGTAAGGAAAGCAGTGGGCCAGAAGCCAGTTGCTTTTCTTAGGATTGTTGAGAGCATTAAAAGAGAAACTTTGTATAGCATCCAACACAATATATAATACATGTAGTGAATGCTGGCTGCTGTCCCCTCTCCTTTTCTGTACTGGATTCTATAATTTTTTTTCTTATTGCCACCTCCTCAGAATTAACTTTAATTTATATTGCCCAAGGATTCTGTCACTAGACCAGAAACTGCTGGGGAGGAAAAAGAACAATAGTTGGCCTTAACTGAAAAGCCAGTTCACAAATTTACATAAAAACGAAGTCCTGATGGAGTGATATGAGAATTTTGTTTCAGATAATGGAACTCTGTCCTTGAACCTGTTAGGATATATTTTATCACTTACAAATAGTCATTATGTAAACTTTTAATGCCTAATTTCTGATAGAAAATTTGAGGATAAGTGCATTGCGATTCTTACCCCGATGGTAACAGGACTGGAACTATAAAGACTGCATACATTCTAGTATAGTGACATGTAAATGTTGTAAATATTTTCTGAGTTTTCACTCCTTAGTATGTATTTATAATCACTTTTTAAAGTATTTTAAAAAACACTTTAAAAATTCTGTTGATTATTCTTAATAAGGAAGGATTAATGTTATTTCATGCTGTTGTATTACAATTCAGATGAAGATAAAATGTATAAGTCATCTCATTTATGTTGAAGGGAAGATATTTTGCAGAACCCAATTTTATGTATTTCTTATTTGTGACATTCTACATGTAGCATTTTGATAATTGACTTTTTTATGAGGTCAAGTGCCTGCTAGTTTATGAAATATACCCACACTTGCCCTTTGTTCCAGGCAGTGACTGCTCTGAGGTACAAGTGGATGGTTCCTGATTTCCTTTGGCCTGTGATGCAGAGTGACCTTATAGGGCATTAGGTCACAAGTGTAATTATTTCTTGTACGTCGTATTCTGCTTGCTCACAGTGGCTCATCTCCTCTAATTTCAGAAACATTAAACACATAAAAGTTACTACCATTATATAAATCAAAATCTCAGGGTGCTATTGAAATTTTATGCAGTTATGGCCATTGTAGTATTAATTTGCAAATTTATCATCTCAGATATTGATAGAAGGATGTGTAACACATCGTGTTTAATACATATTGATGTCATCAGAAAGAACAATCCTTTGTTCTTATCGAGTCCCTGCCTTTTTAGCTTCCTTTTGTGTTAAGGTTACCAGGGTTAGACTCGTCTTTTTATCCCCCTTGGAAACAGAATAGGATTTCTTTGTTCAATGAAAGACACTCCTAGTCAGTGTTTTGGGTTTGACTTTCAACAAGCCACACTGTAGTACCTATTTTAACCTGGAATTGAAGTC